TTTTTTTGAAATAATTGTTAAATGTTAAACACAGAGTTCTTTCAACAAATGTTTTACTTTTAAGCAATTTCAACAAATTGTACAATTTTCGAGAGAGGGTAAATGTGAGCAGCTTGAATGGAAACTGTTTAGTTAAAGTTATAAATAGTAAAAAGGTTTAGACTTTTATTCCTTTAGAGAAGATTTTCCTATTCTGAAATTTGTGATAAAATAATGGAATACAGAATTATTTATCATTTTAAATAAGAAAAATTATTAACTCAGTAATTTATAGCTTTAAATGTTACTTTTGGGGAACAATTCACCTTTATCAATTTAAAACTGAAAAAAAAACTTATTACTTACATCTAAATATTTGATGAACTATAAAAGAGTTATATACTTTCAGTAATTATTCAATTCTTATATCACTAACAAATTAAAATATCATAAAAATTTATGTAATTTATATTTTAATTATAATAAGCACATTAAAATGTATAGAATAATTTTCCAGAAATATAATTTAGTACGAGGAATTATGGAACATTATAGCCTCGTATCGAAAAATAGAAAAATATTTTACTTGATAGTTATGACTTTATCAGATTTTTACGATAACAGGTTATCCTACAGTAGACTGACTGTTTTAATTGGTTTGGCGATTTCATTTTAAATATTTATGGCTGCAAAACGGTTAATGCTAAATAATTCTTGCAAATAAATCCTTATAAAGGTCACAATTATTTTCTCTTAGAGCTCATGAATTTAGTTGAAATTTTTTTTTCAACAGATGACTTTATAGATGATAAATGTTTCAATAAAAAATTGAAAATCATGATTTTAAAATGTAAGTCTTTTAGTGAATAAAAATTACATTATAAAATTTTTGAATCGTCTAATCTAAAATTTCGAATCTTTTTTTTAAAAATTCAATTAAAAATAGTAAAAAATAGTAATGACTTTTTATTTATCTTACAGTTTTCTTTTTCTAGATAATTGAACTTTTTGTGATACAGAATTTTGTGATTGTAAAAGCAAGTTGTAAATATTCTTGGAGTTTTGAAATTCATGTAAAGAACCAGTAAAATCTTTTTACTCGCATTAATATTTTTTTTTTCTTAACGATTATTTTATAACTTCTTAGTTCAGGAAGACGTCATAATGCTCCACCCCAGATTTATTTGAAACAGAATTTCCCATGATCTGCATTGTTTGCATCTTATTTAATCTTTAATATAATTTATTATGTACTAATGCTTGATGCAAGAGACACCTTATATTCTAGGTTTAGTTTTAAATTATTACATGGAGTTGAATATGCTATTGCCAAAATCCTATATAGTTTTGTTGTTCATATCCGATTATACAGCCGAATGAAAACTATAAAAATCTGTTCTTATAACAAAAATGATATTTTATTGAACCATTGATTAATAAAATTTTGCATTTGAACAATATTTAGTCTGTTATTAACCAACGCTCGACAGAAATAAAACAACTGTTATTACTCTAGTAAGTAGTAAGTTACACTATTTGTTTGGTTCTACAGTGCACAAAAAAAGGAAAAAAAAAGAAAATACGGAACTTTTGATCTAATGATGGATCGAATTTTGATCTAATGATGGATCGAATTTGGATCTAATGATCCCGTACTAGGATTGAAAGTTAATGGTTCAGGTGAGTGACCTCAAATGGGCTAAATAATTACTGTAAGTGATATATTAAGTTACGAAATCAGATACAAAAGCGTACTTTCTTTCAATTAATGTACCTTTTTATTCCCCCAGCTCATTTGAATTTCTGACCCTTAAAATATAATTGCCTCAATTTAGAAAAGACGTTCCTTATAGTTTCGGTTGGGAGTTGTCGAGAGTTTGGACCCCTTAATGTTAATTTTACTTTTAATGTATTTCGCCTTATCTCAAGACACTTTTAAAGTGAATTGATATGACTTTGCACACAATTATGAAGTTCGCACACAATTATAAAGTTACCATTTTTCTCACACAAGTATAAAGTTACAGATAATTCGTTTGTACATGCAAAAAATAAATTTTTATCATTATTTTTTTATTATATTAATTAATAATAGTCGAAAAAATTTGGATTTTAAGGTATCCAAAGTTTTACATAAATTTGAAGAGTATAATTTTCTATGACAGAATACAAAATTTGAATAAAATCGGCCGAATAGTTCCTTAGAAACAATTTTTTTGAAATATATGATTTTTTTTAAAAATTTAATGATATTAGCATATATGCGGTCAATTTTTCAAGATTATCATTAAATAAAACAATAAAATAACAAACAATAATTTAAAATTAATTTTTTGCACGGAATTATTTTAGGATATATGAATTTTATAATTGTGTGCAGAAATTTTTTAATTGCTTAAAAAGTTCTCGAAATATGCAAAAAGAAAGTTAACATCAAGGATTCTAAAGTCCAAACTTTCGACTCTTTTGGCCAAACTATTGGGACCTTATTTCCCAGGTGGGAATCAAGAAGCAGAACCCGTCAAAAAAAGGAATATATATTGCAGAAAGTACGATTTCGTATCTGATTTCGTAACTTAAAATATCATCCGCACTAATTAGCATATTTGCGGTCAAACCTTTAAATATTAACACTGAGTTCTAGTACGTGCAGATCCGATCACAAGATCGAAAGTCATTCAGGTGTTCTGCTTTTTTCTTCTTTTCTCACTCTGTACAAAAAAAAAAAGAAAAAGAAACTGAATAACCCAGAATAACTTTTGATCTAATCATCGGATCTTCACGTTCTAGGACTCAATCTTTATGGTTCGAGAGGTTGACCTCAAATATGCTAATTAAGGGCAGACGATATTTGAGTTACGAAATGAGACACAAAAACGTTCTTTTTCTAAATAATCATACCTTTATGAAATAAACATACTTTCTCTGAATAAACAAATTTTTTTTCAACGGATTTGGATTTCTGACCCCCAAAATATAAGAGTCAGCGGCAATCACGGAAATATGGTTTTATAGTTATGGTTATTTTAGAAAAATTGCATACTTAAAATTCGATTTCTCGGGAACTATTTAACCGATTTTGCTCCAATTATGTATTTTGCCTTGTAAAAATAGGTACTTTAAAATAATGTAAAATATTATATACATAACAATTCAAAATTTTTCAACTATTATTAAAAAAATAATACAAAATAATAAATACATACTAAAATGTATTTTTTTGCATGGAAATATATTTGGACAAACAAATGTAATAGTTGTGTGCAAAATTTTACAATTCGTTCAAAAAATTCCCCAAATATAGTGAAACACGCAAAAATTAAAATTAATATTGAGGGGTCCAATCTTAGGATTGCTCTCCTGATCAAACTATGTAGACCATATTTCCCAGGTTGCGGCAACCCCCCTTTATTCCGGCGATCAGAAATCCAAATGCGTTGAAAAAAGGGTATGTCTATTCAGAGAGCAGAGAAAGTACGTTTTTGTGCCTGATTTTGTAACTTAAAATATCGTCTGCATTAATTAATTTGCATATTTGAGGTCACTCTCACGAACCATTAAGGTTGAGTCTTAGAACAGGGAGATCCGATAATTAGATCAAAAGTTAGTTTCTAGGTAATCTGTTTTTAATTTTATTTTTTTATAAAATTTTTTAGCACTGTACACAAGGAGACGATAGTTCTAGATGCTGCTTTATAAATATCGCTGCAATTTTGTTTTTGGAAAATTATGAAAATTAATTAAACAGCATTCTAGTAGTATTAATAAGTCCAGACTAATTATTAACTAATCTTTTACACATGGGTGACACCATGATAAATGGTTCGCATTGTTCGCTTCGCAACATTAAAAATATTATTTTGCATGTCTTCAAATTACTCACAATTTTAATTTCGATGAAATGGTCTTCCTATAATTTTTTAGATACTCATAAAATATTTTTAATTTGGAATATCATAAAGAAATATATATGTTTAAACTGTTTGTTGGTGGATGGGATAATTCGGACCAATTATTGTGATAATACCACACTGAATCATAATCTAAAAATTTCTTAACAAATGAAAAATAATACTTAAATTCAATATTCCTACATGGGAAAACATTTTAGTAAAGTTACCGTACTGTATGGTAGTGACATTTCCGGTAAAAAAAAACCATATTTCTGATTAATAAAATCAAATTATACTGCATTTAAACCATTCATTTGTTAATTTTTGCTTTAATATGGTAACGGTTTACACGAAAAATTCTGGTTTTCAAAATTATAGTTCTTTTTAACGCACATTTTGTAAAAAATAGAAAACCAAAAATTGCATTTTACCGAATAAATGCTCTAAGGTATCATGATAAAATTACTAAATTTTACCACATTTACCAAATATTTTATTGCTAATTTTATCAAAATCATTACCAAAACACTACGGTAAAAAATATCAATCTTTTTGGTGTTCCCATAGAGCCAGAAACACGGTAAATTTTACCATAATCTGGTAGTTTTAGCCATACTTTTTTTCTCATTGTACAATAATCATAAATTTCATCAAATATTTTTACTATTTTTCACACTATTTTTAACACGAAGTTAGTAATTCGAAACTAGCACTATTGGATATGCTATAGTAGATTTAATCAAATGTTGCAATAGATTTTAGATCACACAAGAAAAAAATAAAAAAAATTTTAACTGGCAAGAGTGCAATAATACAAAAATTTAATCAAAGTAAGTTTTGCCGTTGACTAACTAGGATTCTATATAGTTTCTAATTTAAAATTATTCAATCTTTAACGATTTCTAAGTAAACAAAATATGCAAATCTCTATTTTAAATGGTGCGCTAACAGTTGTCTACCAAAGCCAGCCTGGACTATTGCAATAACGTGCACTAAGTTCAATAGCTATTCAAGCAAAAATTGTATTTCTACAGTGCGAAGCTACACTAATTAATCTAAAAAACCTGAGAAGGGTACGCGACAGGAAAAATTTGCAAAATCGAAATGCAATCCAGAGATAAATAGTACCTGGAGGATGGGGAACTGTCCGGGTAACCACAGCTGGTCTCAATGTCGATGCTCGCAGCTGAATCCAGGCTGTGGTACTTTCTGGCCCTACTGTGCTGCCTTTCTGAGTATCGGCTGAACACAACATGTTGCCTGTGAAGAACATAAAGAGTCTCTTCGATTATAAACAAGTTCTATTAGAGAGGCGAAGAAGGCAAAATTGCAAACTCTGAATGAAAACTAAAAAGCTAATAATTCTAATAACTAAAATGTGCAGTTTGTGAATCTTTTCAGTGTAAAAAGTAAATTTTTTTGTGAAATTTAAAAAATCCGGAAAAAGTAAATTTTTTTAAAAGTCTTGAAGGTAATTTAATTTTTAATATCTGCTCCCGCTGGATTACTATTTTAAGGAAATAATACATAATTTTTTATTTACTTTAATTTTACAAATATTGGATTTGTCTTAATTAATAATTAGTTTTGTAAAGATTGTGTTGAAAAACGGAAATAAAATTCGACGTCTTTGGCTAAAAAAGCAATTTAAATTTGCATTCAATAAGTAAACAATAAAATTTTAAACAATATCGGTTCAATGTTGAATTATAATATTGTTTTTTCCAGCTATAATATGGTGCAACCGGACTAAAAGATGAAATTGAATCATGTTTCGATTCATGCAGTATCTTGTAATTAAGCTTAAGACGTACAATAATACGAATGCTTCAACTCGAATGGTACGAAAATGCAACAGTTACGAATGGTTAAACTTAGTACCATATGAAATTTACAGGCTCCATAATCTATAACATTGTAATCATACACATCATGCATAGATTAAAAAAAAACGCAACGCTGTTGCAAATAAAATAAATTAATTAATAAAAAATGAACTAACAATTCAATTTTTTTCCATAGCAAACAATTTTAACACAATTCATAATGTGTTTATTAAATAAAGTTATTGCGTGATTAAGAGGATTAAAACGATTTTAATACGTTCGTAATTCCTATAATATTTAAATATATATATAAGACATTGATACAAAATCTAAGGTATGGAGGTTTTAGTTCGAAGGTTAAGGCTAATAATTTTAAATATGCGATTCGTCTACAGTTTAGTAATTAGTAACACTTTGTATTTAAATTTTTAAATCGCTTTGTGAAACTATAAGTCTCCGAGCACTTCATACGGGTTTCGATTTGTAAAATTTAAAGGATTTGGTCACTTAGAAATAATTTTAAAAAGTTATCAAGTCGTATAAACAGTTTTGAGAATTTCTGATGGAATTCCAGAACCGTTTGTTACAGAAGACAAAAACTATTAATGGGATCATAATTTTTTTTTACCTTGAACTACTATTATAAGGCATTGAATAGTGTAATCGCTTATCTATGGATTATACAGGCTGACACAGGAAAATGGTACTTTAAAGTAATTTGAACAAATAAGAACATGAAAAATAAAAACATGAGAAAGTGTATGAGCACAGCTTGTTATTTATGATTTCGTAGAAAAATATCATAAACTTCTATCTACTTCTTACAGATAAAATCAGAAAGATTACCATGTCCGAGTTCACATTTCAATACAGTGGTTCCCAAGTTATTACGGTTGTAGAACCCTAAGCGATCTAGCTACTTTTGGAGGAACCTTGATTTTTTTTAATAACAGTTTATTAGCAGCTGGAAATATGCTAAACAAACATAAACTACAAATTTATTTGGAAACATTTAATATGAAGGTATGAACTTGTTTTATGAAGAACAGTATGAACTTTTTTCGTTAGTTTATAAATCACTGTCTTAAATTAGATTTTCTGTTAAACGGTTGAATTCACGGGTCTGCAGCGACTTCAATTATAGTAGGCGTATGCATAAGTTGAAATTTTGCAAAATAAGCTGAATTACGGTTTTTGAAAAATAACTGTTATAAATTGTAGTAATGGTCATCAGGAAATGCAATTCTTGATTCTTGAATTTTTAAAGCTCGATAAGAAATATCAAATTTATATTAAATAATTGCATATCTTTTTCGTAATTTAGTCAACATATTGTGATTGGAACATATATACATATAGCATAATAAATAAATACAAAAAGAACAAAAAGAAAGAAAAAAAACGGAGCAAGTTAATAAAAACAATACAACAATTTTTTGAGTGTTCCTCACACTATTGTATTGATATATTTTGCTTTGGCTATATTGATACAATATTAGATAGCACTCCTTTTTGTGGATATAATTGTGTGAGCTGATGAAAAGATTATATTTTTTATTTTCTGGATTTTTATTAATTTTCTTCCCTTTTTTCGGATTTTTTTTTCTTTCGGATTTTTATTATTACTATTTTTCTTTTTCCCATTTTTTATTTTTCTGTAATTTTTTCCATGTTTTCTCTATATTTTAAACTGACGGCAAGGGTCCTGACGGCAAGAGGACTCTAACTCATGATCCGTCTGCCACTGAGGATATTTTACGTCAGCACTGTGGTCGGTGCAAGCTGGATGTGGAATTTGTATCGACCAGCCATTGCTGGGATTCGAACCCGGTTCATTTCATTGGCAGGTGAACGTTCTTATCCCTGAGTCATCACGGCTCAACACATTTTGATTTTATTTTATTTTATAACCGTCTTTGAACAGCCGACCCGATTTTGGGTTTACTACAACTGATGTTTAACTCCGTAGCCTTGTAATTTTGAACCCAACACAGAGGACAAGTGTCCTGGATCAAGTACTGGGAGAAATTTGCCTTCGTGGAGGACTTTTTGATGTAACTAACCCGCATTTGCGTTACGTGGAGAGGAAGACCACGAGAACCTCCCTTGGTTAGCCTGACGGCAAGGGGACTCTTACCCATGATCCGTCTACCACTGAGGATACTTCACGTCTGCACTGTGGTCGGTGCAAGCCGGATGCGAACCCTGTTCACCTCTCTGGGAGGCAAATGCTCTGTCCCCTGAGTCATCAAGGCTCCTTTAGGCTAATTGAGAAATGTATCCGATCATGCACTACTCCAGTGTTTCCCAAAGTGTGGTACACGTACCCCCAGGGGTACGGGAACANTATATATATATATATATATATATATATATATATATACATATTTTATCACTCGTATTTCCTCTACACTTCTTATTTCCTTCGCACTCTCATTTTATCCGCACTTCTTATTCCATCTACATTTCTTATTTTATCCTCGGTCTCCTTTTTTCCCTTTTAATCAGATTCCACATAATTAAGGAATTGGCTTACGCAGATAATGTTTTCATAATAATCATAATGGATCATAAATGATTTCAAAAAAGTAAAATTGAAGCAGTGGTATTGAGATATTTGGTTTATCATTCGGAAAAAAAATATTTTATTAGATAAGTTCAGTTCCAAGAAGATAGGTATTTGAGACTTTTAATAATAGTTATCTCCTGCAAATTTGAGAAAAAAACAAGCAAGCAAAAGAAAAAATAGAATCGGAAAAAATATAAAAATTAAAATATCTTGTAAAGGTACTGTATGAGTTCTTAAAAATAAGTATTTCAGAATATTAATGTAAAATTAAATAGCAATGCTTGCAAATGAAGCAAATCATTTCATTACTGAACAGTTTCATAATAGCAAATTTTCGACATTCAGAGACAGAGAACCAAATCTTAGTTATTCAACACATTTTGCTGCATTTTTAGACATACTCCCGTTATTGCTTTTGTTTATGGATAAATAAAACCTGTTTATGGATTCGAATGATTTACGGGTAATATTTTACTTATGGATAAATATATATGGATAAAAATGGATAATGAGGATATATAACTTGTTGACTTTTAACTAACTGTGTCGGTTTTAATGTTTCGTAGTGCCAAAGTATCTGTTACTTTAAAAATTATGAAATAAACATACCTATTTCGCATGTAGAAGCTTTTTTCGTATAGTAAACATTTGCGTGATATGATCAAGGAATAAGAATCATGTTATACCATTTTTAAACGCAATAAAAAAAAACGTGTTTCTGGTTGATTTTTCGTTCCCGTTCAAAAACAAGCGTCTGGAGGCAGGATGATTAAATAATACTGACGAATTCATAAAGCGAACAAGAGAGAAAAATGAACTCGATATCGGGAAAATGTTCCTGGTAGGAATGTTTTCTTTGAAAATATCGCCGTTTTTCATTCACAAAATTAAGAGCTAAAGGCGAACTTTTCATAAATAAAATTTTTTAAGGAAATATCGGATTGAATTAAAAAAAAAGAGAAGAAAAACGAAGATTTTAATGAACTTTGTATATTGTAGATTTCGCTGAGAAGGAAGATTTTTTACCTTTAGAGTGCGTTTTAATCGACAGAGAGGCTGTTTATAAATATGAGAGGGGTTCCAGAAATTTTGGTCGCGCATAGACTATGGGGGAGGAGGTTCGTGAAATTGTGATAAATGAGGATGAAAGGTGTTTCAAAGAAGTGTGGCATCACAAATTTTTTTAAAAATAAATACACTTGAAATCAGCTTTTAGATCTTTAAATATATTAATATTATTTAGTTTTGTATTTATTTTTCTACTTACAAAAAAAGATTGAAAGGCTGTAATCTTCATTTTAGGTTTTAGAGTCATTATTAAGCTCTCAATAGAATGGGTTCTGAAATCAAGTAATTAAAGTTTAAAAATAAATTTGAAGTATGATTTATAATGTAGTACTATGTATTACTGTTGAGTTGAAAGTTTATGTTTATGCTGAGCGATGTGACGTGAGCATGGGAAATTCGGAAAATGGTGGTAAAAAGTATTTAAAAAAGTGGGATGTAATTAATGAAAAGCCTCAATGCCTTATTAACGCAGATGGGATTAACTATATCCTTACAAAAATTCGTATGCATTAATTTGTTATCTAAAATAATTTTATTTAAGAGGTTAAGAAATGTAATAAAATTTAACTTTCGAAACGTAGCCAATGCGCCAAGAAAGCAAATGTAAAAATCTCCAATATCATCAACGTTATTTCCCTCCTTCCCTGTCGTTACTTTTTTGTCCTCCGCTACGTTTTTAACATTATGGAATCATTTTTCTCCTAACTCCTTGTTCAGAATGTTTTAGAGGTCAGTCTCACTGGATGCGATTTGCTTGCGAACGGGAGCCTGATTCATGAGTAAGTATTTTTAACTAATCAGGTTTCTCATTCGCATGCGAAAAAATCACAGGCAGAGAGAATGGTCTTTTAGAAGATTGCTGATCCCTCCGACTGTAATGAAGTGCATTCTGTAATACTGCTTTTGAAAGCAAAATATTAAAAAACTTATCGTCTCCGAGAGAGTTATGGTGAAAATGTAATAAATGATGGAATAGGGAGAAAGTAGGTTTGACAATTTAATGATGGACGCATTGATTTCATGGCGAGGCATGGAGTGTTCGACTGCATTCGGCTGGTAATGACGATTTGGTTGAAAAAATATTTGGTTGAAAAAAGTTAGAGGAAAAATTCGTGAGAACAGACAGTTCACATTAGAAATGGTTTGTGCTGAGTTTCCATAATTTTAAAAAACTGTTTTGAATAAGATTGTCACAAATCGGTGTAGGCTCAAAATAAAAATTATAATTAAAAAAAACGGTATTTAACAGTGGCGGTTTCCGCTACCAGCATCTGTTGTTGAAGTAAATACGGAGAAGTTGGTTTCTGGTTACTTCAAATTTGTGAACAATGTTGGTAACTATGCCAAATTTTTTTTTTAAATTTCTCTTTTACATAAAAATAAATTTTGCTTCCAAAAAGAATTTCTTATGTAAATTTTTTCAAACTGGTGCTTACTTTCAGGATTTTCCTCATAAATATTTAATACCCAATAATTCATTAATGCTAGCCTTATATACTTTTCTGTTCATTAAGAAGATTTTTTTTCCTTTTTGCTATTTTGTTTGCTTCAAATTAAAATGATTCCAAAATTTAATGCTTAAGGAAAAAGTAAACTATTGTCATACCTCTGGAGAGGCTTCCTTTTCCTAAGACAAACTTTGCAGCATACCATGACTACTGCAGCAAGCATCAATCCTCCTGCTACCCCAGCAAGAAGTACATATACTGTTACATGTTTATCCACCGTCAGTGGGCTTGGAGGGGTAACCTGCTGAGACTGAAAGAAAAGAAAAATAATAACTTTTGTTTAATGTTGTTAGTTGTTTTTTTAAAATTTATAAAAAAGCACCGCAATTCAGGGTTACTTAGCTCATTTTTTATTTTAGAACAATCACAAATTTAAGCTGAGATAAGTTATTTGACTTACTTTGGACAAAAAGAAAGGAAAACAACATAAAGTTCCTAAAATTGGCATGATAATGATGGAAAAAGAAAAAGAAATACCGAGCAGTATAGGATTAAACTATTAAAGAAGCATTTAAGATTATGTTTAAAAATGTCTACAAGTAACAACAATTTAAGTTTAAAATTTTGGTGTTTAAAGTTATGGAACTTATAAATTATTCAAATATTATTATTATTATCTAAAATATAAGCAAATATTTATAAACTAACCTTAAAAAACACACAGAGTATTAAAATATGGGGGTCTAAAATTTAATTAAAACAAGGAGCTTATGACATGAAAATTAGCAATCAAGTTCAAAATAGTGTTGCTAAAAGCTGAGTCCAAAATTTACCCCGAAAAAGTTAAGTTGCTAAACTATTCAGGTGGCCTAAATATACTTGGATATAGTTAGAGCTTTTAAACGAAAATGATTCTCTGATATGAAACTTTGTTTTGTCTATAAAAAATTTGAATATCATAGTTTCTTAAATCAATTGTAACAATGCTTCAGTACTTATTTTTAGCTTCTCAGAACCTAGTAATCAACCAGTAAGCACGAAATAGTTTAAAAAAATGTTAAAAGAAATAACTTTTCTTAAGTTTGCAAGAGAAGGTAAGAAATAAAATATTAGATGTAACTTAAAACATATTCACTTTACATGTTTACTTTTAATTTATTTAATCGAATACTTTTAGCGAACATTTGTCACCTATTGTATTTTAAGCTCTCCATTTCCGGTCAATAATAGTTTTTCAAAGTTAAAATTTATCAGCCAGCATAAGCAACAGAGATAAGACGCATCGCTTGTTGGCATCAATGTAACATGCCGATTTTCAAGGTTGTCGGTAATCTCCAAAAACGCATTCTGTAAAATGAACGTTTTCAAGTTTTGCATATAATTCTCTCTTATATTTTTAATTGCTGTATAGTCGTGCAATTGAAAAAACAAGGCGAGTGCTTTAAAATAGATTTTAAGAAGATAAGGTTGACTAATGACAATTATTTTCCTCTCATTGCTAATGCCATAAACGCTAAAATGAAATTTCAAAAAACTGATAAAACAAAATTTATTTTTTAGAGTTTTTCTTTTGCAATTTGTAACTTATCATACAAAGATGCCAAATTTATATAAATCTCAATTTTATAAAATTCTCAAACACACATCTCGCTGTTTTCTCTTCGTTCGAAAAAAAAAATCGAAAGAAAGTCAATTTGTCATATTTTTATCAATTTACATTTAAATGAAATTATATTCTATTATTTGACAAGCATTGCATTATTTTCAAAGCATTTAATCGATAGAATTAACTCAACATCAAAAGATCCAAATAAGAACCCCATTCTTCCACACTTATTGCAGAATTTAGTTTTCCGGAAAAAAGGAACCCGGTTTAACTAGCAAGCTTTTGTATTTCGTTTCACAGGCGGTGCTTTAATTTCAAAATAAAAATGGGTAAAAGGATTTTTGATCTGACGTGTATCTCTGGAGATATTTGACCGTTTTTATATTTTTTGAACATCCTGTACATGCAATTATAAGCGTATAAGGCGTATACACAAAAGTAATTGAATCTAGAGTATCTTTAAAAAGACTTCTTTAAAGAAGCATCATAAACTCATAGGAATAATTATTTTGATCAAATGTATTCAACATTTGGTAGATACTACAGCCTTTTTAATTTTTAAGTAAGACTCAAAAGATATTTTTGAAATTTCGAGAAGACAAAAGTCAGTAGATTTAACAATTAATTTAGTTATTTTAATTGAATAAATATTTTGTTATACACAACTGTAAAATGCTTTTTTTCCTCTAAATTTACATAATTTATGAATTCACGGAGAAAGAAAATGTAGATAAACTTACGGTTCTGTATGGTAGTGAAATTTCTGGTGAAAAGAAAAAACCCATAATTCTGGTTAACAAATTCAAAATAGGCAGTATTTAAACCATTCATTTGGTATTTTTTTCGTTCATAGGGTAAAGGTTTACTGGAAATTCTGGTTCTCAAAATTATGGTTTTTATTACCACACATAATATGAAAACAAAAAAACGAAACTGAAAAATAAATTTTACCGAATAAAAGTTTTTTATGCGATACTGTAAAGCAGCGGTTCCCAATTTTTTTTCAGCCACGGAACTCTAAGCAATCGAACTTCTTTTGGTGAAACCCTGACTTTTAAAAAACGTTTATTAGCCAACGAAACGGTTCGCCAACGGTACAAATATACCGACGGAAAACAGAAACTTATTTAGAAAAGAAATTAATTTAGAAACAATTAATGTCAATGAATTTCTCTCACTGTTTCATCAATTATGTCTTAAAATTAGGTTTTATGTTAGGCAGTAGATTTCGCAATTCTGGAGAGGCTACGTTTTTTACTAAATTGTTAGAAAAGGAAAGTCGGAAAAAAGTAATTCTTTATGCTTAAATTCGATTATTTTATTTCGAATTTCAAAGTTAAATTAAAAATACTGATACAATAACTGGCAAATGCACATCGCTTAGCAATTTATTTTATTTATAGTTACTGGAAAATTTTTTTTTAGAGTTCTTATTTCAAAGTTATTGTGGTTTTAAATTAACGATTTCATAAAAATAAACTTCATATTAAATAAATAATGGAGTATTGGTTGGGTACAAACCTATTACACGTTTAAAAAAATCATTACTAGTTAAAAAAAAAAGTCCTAACTCCCGGATTCCCTGTTACAGTTTAACGGAACCCCAGGGTTCCGCTTAACACCATTTGGGAACCGCTGTTCTTCAGTGTCATGGTAAAATAACCAAATTTTACCACATTTATCAAATTTTACCACAGATTATAAAGTCATATTTTATTGTTAATTTTACCAAACTCATTATCAAAGTGGTTCGGTAAAAATTGCCGAGCATTTGGCGTTCCCATAGAGCTAGAAACATGTTAAATTTGATCATAATTTAGTAGCTTTGACTACAATTTTTTTCTCAGTGTTGGGTAGATTTTTAAAATATTTTGGAACTTTGAAAGTGTTCAAAGAAAATAAGAAAGGTTTTAGCTTATATTTCTAATTTTGTAACTGTTTTAATAGCATTTATTTATAGTATATGTGTGTTTTGCTTAGTATCAACTTGTTCAAAATAAAATCTCCCGAGACAGGATCTGTATTAATTACTATTGTAAAAATATTCTTTCCCTTTAATTTCTTGTAATTTTGCCCAGAATTTAGTTAGTCCAATATACGCAAGAACCACTTTCGCTAAACTTTTTGCGCGTGTTTGTCTCTTTACTTCGCTACTATCATTTGGTGTTTAGACACTGAGGAAGGTTCTTGTTTATAGGACATAAAATATAGTATTAGTTCTATACTTTCATTTGTGCTTCATTCTCGCTATTATTTTTATTTTATTTATTTATATATCTATTTATTTATTTTTTGCTTTAATAAAATACTGTTATACAAAAGTTATTAGGACACTAAAGGCAACTAAAATATAAACTTGTCAAGAAAAGAAGTTCACGAAAAAAAAAACTTTATTGCTAATATAATTACTGGATTAAATATAGCACAGATTTATTTTAGATTAAACTGATGAGGAGAAGTACCGAGCATGCTTTGGGACTAAACACTAGGGCTATGGCGTTCAGCTGACCATCTGTCCGAAACATCTTCTCCAGCACCCCAGAGGGCAAGGTCAGGGGAACTGGAGTGGGCACAATAAACCTTGGTCCTTCATGGGCTGTTTCGCCACTGAGAGAATGAGAAAGATGGTTTTATGATTAAAAAATAAATAAATTTTTTTAAAGCTTAAATATAAAGTAAAATAAATGCTAATATTTTTCTATAAGCTAATTTCTCAAGCAGTACGATAAAAAGATTTAATTTAGTTCCATATTAAGTTCAGCACTCTTTTCGTTCAACACGCTCTTAAATTTCTCAGGATATAAATAAGACTCTTCAGGGATGAATCTGAAACTGAAGTCTAATCTTCCTCTGATACTCATTATTTATTGAAACTAGGCCGAAATTAAGTGAAGACTAGTATTTAATTCTGTTTAGATCACTTGTTTACTTACACATAAAAGGAGCTAAAACCGAAACCTCGTAACTTTCTGAATAATCAATTCGTACCATAATATAGATATTCTTAATTATAATATGGTGCAAATGTGCTGAAATCTTTTTAAGGTGTTAAATTGAAGGGGATTTCTGAACGAATTGAATCATAGTATCGTGTAGTCAAGTTTAAGGATTACGATAATTTGGTTCAATTTAGCATCATATTAAGGTTGCAAAGTTGATACAGAGTATCGAAATCATTAAATTTGTTTATAGTATAGTATTGTTACGAATTTATAATTATATTTATAATTTTGCAAACATTATTTTGTTACGTTATGTTTTGTTTTGTCTAAATATCTCAGACGGACCCTGCATAAACAGTTTAATTAGAAAAATTGCTGGAAAGTCGCGCAATTGTAACGAAATTTAGAGAGAAAATGATGCTTAATGCATTTCTTATAAAAAGACTCAGTTTGGTGACATTTTTGCGGACTTGGCTACCATTTTGATGACAAAATTATCGTTTCGGAAAATTCGAGTTTCGGAGCCATAGGACTAATAATTACAGAGTTATACGAGAATTGTCTAGAATTAGGTCGTAAGTTCCGGGGTTTCGTCGCCAATTCAATGTAAATAGGAGGGTGTCTTGCAAGGAAATCATTGATAAGCCTTAGCCTCCATGCCCCAATGGCGCAGTTGACGATGCAAACTATACGATAAAATAATATTATAATAGGGCACTGCATATTAACTCCTACTCTTTTTTATATTAATTATATATTCGG